ACAGTAGCATCTTTATCCGTATATAACCCCAACCGATACTGCTTTTATCCTTTATCCTGCCGAGAAACCTACCAATTATATGATAAATTCAGATATGTTCTTGAAATACTGTTGCGTAGGATTATGTCAACCCTGTTAAAAACATTATTGTTGTTTTACTTTGGAACATGTGTTATGACTGAAATATGCTGGATCTTGTGTGGCGATATTCAGAGCGTGTCTGGAGTATTGTATGAGTACTTTTCTATTACCCTGTTCAACCTGCTTTGAATAATCTCTATCAGTCATTACCAATGGGTTTTTTCATGTTCATTGTGTGTTCTTCGTACATATCTATATCTGTAATTACACGTTGACTTTCACTTTGTGTGGGTTCATTGGAGTATGAACCTTCATAGAGTAATGGCCAACCTGTATGAACGTCGGAGTATGAATTCCAATGAACTCACACAAAGTGAAAGTCAATTCTAATAATTTTTATATCACTAGTTTTTACCTCAAAGAATGAATACCTAGATCTATACACAGTGATATTTAGTACGTGTGACTTCATGTTTACACTGACAGCCATACAACAACCAGCTGTATCGCGGGATAAAATAGTTCTTCAAACCGAGAGGTGACGCCACAGTATGTATGCTCAACATGCTCTACATGAACAACATTTGTACTTTTTGCAACATATGTATTTAAATAATATCCTCATTAGATGAGAAAGGTCTGTTAAGAACTACCTCAGGAAGTCAGTCACAATGACAGCGCGTCGTAATACATTCAATACATGGCGGGTGCTTCCGGTAGGACGCCATGGTGACATCACTGAATTTCCGTGACCCATTCATATCATTTACACCGTTAAACTTCGGTTAAAGTGAGTGAGTATGGTTTTACGCCGTTTTTAGCAATATTCCAGCAACATCACGGCGGGGGACACAAGGAATGGGCTTCACACATTGTACCCATGTCGGGAATCGAACCCGGGTCTTCAGTGTGACGAGCGAACGCTTTAACCACTAGGCTACCCGACTGCCCCTGTCACGCCGAAGTCCCCGGTTCGATTCCCGACATGGGTACAATGTGCGAAGCCCATTTCAGGTGTCCCCCGCCGTGATATTGCTGGATTATTGCTAAAGGCAGCGTAAAACCATACTCATTCACTTACTTTTACTACCAAATAAAAATTTGTTTCGGCAGATAATCGAGACTGATTATTCTCTGGCGTTGCCGATGTATGCCCCCTGTTCCGGGATTCCCGTGCAATGTATGACATCCTGCAATGATCTATTCCAATAATCTCCTTGCAGCGTCATCTAGAGCGGCTCCTATAATAACGACCCGTGCTTTAATTATCATATCTTGACATTGCTCGAACTCATACAAGACCTAGAACTATCGGTTGATGTTGGACATATATATTTTGGCGGAACTGGGGGCACGGGTGGCCCAGTCGTCTAAGGCGCCGCGATTCGCTTTGCAGAGTTGCGTCCCTTTGGCACGCCAGAAACATATGATTGTGGGTTCGAATCCCGTTCGCTCCGAATAAGTTTCTAGATTTGTCAGCACCATACCCGTGCTCGTGGGTTTCACCGAAGTGGTAAACGTTTGAGATCTGCATCACTTCGGGCTTTCCTTCCAAATTAAGCTGACACGACGTGATATAACTGTAATACTGTTAAAAGCGGCGTTTAACCCAACCCCCTCACTCACTTTGGCGGAACTCTACAGTATACTTAGCTAAAAGAATGGGGCTACTTCCGAGTTGGGCTAACGCGGACAGGTAAGGAGACCAACAGGTGTATGCGGCCTTGAAGGGACATGTGTCACGTCTTTTCATTGAAAAGGAAACCGAAAAGAACCCGCATAAATGTCATTAAAATTACAGATGTTTTTTAAAGTGACAAATCAAGGAAAATCAAATATGTTATTGCAAGATAAAAATATCAATTCTTTGTAGAATTATCAAAGATAAGAACATCTGATGTAATTGTATTCAGATTCCCTGAAGAGTCTCTGAAAGTTTACTGCCCGACCAGACAGTACACCATACGGAAGCCCCTATTTGCCTTCTCACATTATATAACAGTTCGTTCTTCCCGTGTACCCATGTACCCATGTATACCTGGTGTGTTTAGGGATGTGAAGTAACATAATCAAGTAAACATAGTACAATCCTTTATCACCAAGGCGTGATCATTGTGCTCTCTCATCGGACCACATGACAATGAATATTTCTTATCCTGTACGTTGGGGCTTGAATAAAGCATTTTCCCAGATCTGATCAAATAATCCAGGTTAGTTAAATGGGGGGCTTATGTACCGTTTCCGAAGTAAACAGTGTACAAGAGATTGTCTCTGTTACTTCAGGAGATTGCCTCTGCTACTACAGGAGATTGCCTCTACTACTACAGGAGATTGTCTCTGCTACTACAAGAGATTGTCTCTACTACTACAGGAGATTGTCTCTACTACTACAGGAGATTGTCTCTGCTACTTCAGGAGATTGCCTCTGCTACTACAAGAGATTGCCTCTGCTACTACAGGAGATTGCCTCTGCTACTACAGGAGATTGCCTCTGCTACTACAAGAGATTGTCCCTGTTACTTCAGGAGATTGCCTCTGCTACTACAGGAGATTGTCTCTACTACTACAGGAGATTGTCTCTGCTACTACAAGAGATTGTCTCTACTACTACAAGAGATTGTCTCTACTACTACAGGGGATTGTCTCTGCTACTACAAGAGATTGTCTCTACTACTACAAGAGATTGTCTCTACTACTACAGGAGATTGTCTCTGCTACTATAGGAGATTGCCTCTGCTACTACAGGAGATTGTCTCTACTACTACAAGAGATTGTCTCTGTTACTTCAGGAGATTGCCTCTGCTACTACAGGAGATTGCCTCTGCTACTACAGGGGATTGCCTCTGCTACTACAAGAGATTGTCTCTGTTACTTCAGGAGATTGCCTCTGCTACTACAGGAGATTGTCTCTGCTACTACAAGAGATTGCCTCTACTACTACAGGAGATTGCCTCTGCTACTACAGGAGATTGCCTCTGCTACTACAGGAGATTACCTCTGCTACTACAAGAGATTGTCTCTGTTACTTCAGGAGATTGCCTCTGCTACTACAGGAGATTGTCTCTGCTACTACAAGAGATTGTCTCTGTTACTTTAGGAGAATGCCTCTGCTACTACAGGAGATTGCCTCTGCTACTACAGGAGATTGCCTCTGCTACTACAGGAGATTGTCTCTGCTACTAGGAGATTGCGATACAGATGAAGTCACATAAGCTATTTGTATCCATCCTACACCCTAGCATTATCGTTTTCTATCTTGAGACACATGTAAATAGAGCTTTCTTGTCACCTGTGATTTGTATATAAGAAATATATTCACTTGAGAAATACCTTTTTTTTGTCTCATTACAGAAATATTATAAAGGCAATATTACGTTTGCAAACTTTTTTAAATCATGTTACATTAATGTACTAGGCTTGATAGCTTTATATTTATGTAAACTATTTAAAATGAGATCGACAGAGATGTTACACTCTAGACATGTGACCTAAAATGTTATTTATCTTACAACTGTACTATCGGCCATGTGGCCTGAATTACGAAATAAACTTGATTGATTGTGAAAACTTGCAGTTTCCTTGTTCTGTTACTGGACTTCGTTTTGACATAATCCATATGCATGATCGAAAACAGCACGCAGAAATTACGACTACAATTAATGTTATAAATGTGCTTAGAATTAACTCTGTCATTTCATGAACATGACATTGTACAATGTAATGTCATATTACTTTAAGGATTACTGTAAAGTTAAATCTTTTTTTTCACGTGCCAGAGATGAAATAACATACTCGCGTTCTAATTAGTCATTTTATTTCTTTATACCTAACTGAGTGTAAAAGTATTTTACTGATATGATAAAGCTAATGTCTGAAGTTTAATTTTTATCTTGTAGCCAAGTGTTTCGTGAATTAGAATATGAAACTACACGATGAAAGAACATTATGACTTGCTCTTGGGGAACCTGTTTCACAGGAGGCAGGAGGATCGAAAACAGGAGGCAGAAATTCCGACAGTACACAATGAATGTTATAAATGTGCTTTGGTTTAATGCTGTTATGCCATGGCTATGTGTCAGCACATCATGATGTTATATGTACGATTTGGAGAATAACGGTGAAGGGTTTTTTCAGGTCGGAACGAACGCGAACCTATAGCTAGGGAACGCGAATTTAAAGCTAACGAACGCAAAATTAAAGATGGGAACGCGACTTTAAAGCAAACGAACGCTAAACTATAGCTATGGAACGCGATAGTTATTGCAAGGGAACGCGGAATTTTCGCGAGAGATGGCATTAAATATATTTTAATTCTTAGCATGGCAGATGTGAGCTTCCGGAATATCAACCTGTATTTCACAATTCATTTATTCGATTCCAGTGCAAACATATTGCCTGGAGATGATGTCGTGATTTGCATCTGTTTGTCAATTGAGAATTCCTGCGTTTGTGTGATCAGAGGTAAGCGAGGACATCGCAAACTGAGTATACACTCGTCCATGTTACACATCTTCTTCAACCCGGCAACCAGGTAACTGAATAATTTATGAAGATCTGATAAGACCAGAACCACCACGACTATCTAGTTCCACTGTGATCTGCAACAATCTATGTTAATTCAACTTAATAAGACGTCTCAATTAATCTAACTTAATAAAAGAAATGTAGATTAGCCAGTAAGACCTATAGTCTACAAACTGAAGCAGTTTTTCACTTAACTTGTAAATCCGATCATTTTCGAAATTAATTCAAATCTCTTTCAGTGACACGAATCAGAAATAAATTGAGGGACGTGAACTGAAATACCTCGCGTCCGAGGCTTTAGGTCGACCAAGTCATCAACGGGTTCCGTTGTAACAATCACTCTTTGTATGTGGCGACTTTCACCTGATTTTGTTTATAAGCAGATATGCTGAATATACCGTGGTCTGTGTGTGTGTGTGTTGTGTTGACGTTGCCATGGTGATATCTACAGTATAAATGTCATTCCGTGTGCCGACCCAGACATTGACGACTTCCTCAACACACAAGATGCAGATTATCATCATCGTTGGACTTCTGGGTGAGAGTCTCAATCCTTTTTTTAACTTCAATACTGTCAGAACAAAATTAATTAACATTCGTGTTCATTTGATTACTTCAAAGTTTGTTTATTTAAATTTGTTTTTATTTTTATGCAAACTATTCCTGCGAACATATTAGTTATGATTTTGAATGAATGCTACATGTTTATTGAATATATTGGTTTATTTTACCTGGTGAAAATGTGATAGGTTTTTATATTTTTAATATCTGTATATGAAGATTATAGACATTTTATGAAAATATATATCTGACGAATTTACAACCCGGGAGTAAATTAATCGTTTAACGAGCTTCTTCATGCCATACATAACGGATAATTGTACTACAGTCAACTACGGTTATAACGAACTCAAAGGGACCACTAATTTTAGTTCGTAATAACCATCGTTCGTTATAAGCATATATACAGCATATATACAACAAATGGCCGGGACTAAAAAGTAAGTTCGTTATATCGGTCAGTTCGTTATAAGCGTGTTCGTTATAAATGTAGTTTACTGTATTATCGAATAATTATCAGTCACCTATGGCGTAAAGAGACTCGTTGAAGCTGAAAGTGGTCGCTTAAAACAGGATTAATTTACTCCAAGTTTGTTATTTTTATCTAAATTTCCACGAAAAAGAGAGTATACCCTGTGTTTGATGGTGCCTAAAAAATAAACAAATAAGAAATGATTATTCGATGGTGATGTATTTGATACGGGTATCACAGTTGTGTTTTGGACCTTGAGTTTCGGAGAGTGTTTCAGCCAAGTGACATTTTGATAACGTTTGATATTTTGTGGTCAGATCCAATTTTCAAGGGTATTTATTTCTTTGTCCCAGGTATATAAGCTGCCTGAGACCTGAATTCTATCAACTTTGTATGTACAGTTTATACAGATTACCAATGACGTATATAATACTCAAATAATTAATATGAATGTGTATTTATTTTTATTAAACACATATCTTATGTTACAGTACAGTACTAGTGTACAAGAATATATCGTTTTCCATCATGTCTCAGGCATTGTCAACCATTCTCCAACTTTGCACAACTTGCGACGAAATATGATTTATATTTTTATCTAAACTTCCGGGCAAAAGAAAGTATAACCCATGTTTGATAAAAATGAAACAAACAGGAAATGGTTATTCCATGGTGAAGTATTGGTTACGAATATCATAGTAGTGTTTTTTGTCTTAAGTTGGTGTTTCGCCGACTGTTTTCAGACCAGTGATGTTGATAAGGGTTCTAATTGTGGTGAAATCCAATGTTCCAGTGTACTCTTTCTTTTCCAGGCAGTTTATATTAATTTAAAAAACACTGTCCTGTTAGTTGAACTACCTAAATTTCAAACTTAAATAAAAGCCCGTAAGGTTAAATTTTGTGGAGGCTATCAGAATGAGGCTCCGATTCTCCGAGCACGATGATGTGACAATGATGGCTATCCGTGACGGCGACATTATACATTGCAGCCTGTGTTTGCCTGGGTGCGGTTCAGAGTGCGACATCAACCACCGCCCACGCTGCTGGGGTGACCACCCATCATGAAACGTCTACACACCACACAGGTCACTCAGGTGAGGGGCGGGGCTTGCTGCTGTAATACTTAAAGGAGATTTAGACTCGGGGCACCTGCCTGTCATACCAAGTTGTATTGAAGTCATTCCAAAAATTTGTTAATCTACTATGTCAAGAACTTATTATCATTGAAGATAATGCCCAATCTGATTACCCTGAGTCTGTGCATCACGTACTTATTACCACGTCTAACCTCCTGTTTTCGAAACTCTCTATATGGCGGTGAGGCCCCCCTTTAATGACTGGCTCGGGTGTTCTACGTACAGACAACAGTGTTAGCGTTAACTCACGTGCGTTCCCTTTGATGGCGGGTGGGGGCACGGGTGGCGCAATCTAGGCGCCGCAATTCGCTGTGAAGAGTTGCGTCCCTTGGGCACGCCAGAAACATATGTTCGTAGGTTCGATTTCCGGTTCGCCCCGATTATGTTTCTAGGTTTGTCAGCACCATTGCCGTGCTCGTCGGTTTCACCGAAGTGGTAAACGTCTGAGATCTGCATCATTTCGGGATTTCCTCCAACATTAAGCTGACATGCCGTGATATAACTGGAATATTGTTGAAAGGAGCGTTAAACCAACTAAATCTTGAACTCGTGTAAGATGCATCCTAATAAATTGAATGAGTGAGTGACTAAGTATTGCTTAACGCCACATCCGCAATATTGGCAGCTATTTTTAAAGTTACATCGTTGATCCTAATCTCCACGACTATGCTGTCGTAAGAGGCGACTAACGGGATCGGGTAGTCAGGGTCGCTGACTTGGTTGATGAATGTCATCGCATCCCAACTGCGTGGATCGATGCTCATGATGTCAATCACTGGATCGTCTGGTCCAGACTCGATTATTTACAGACCGCCGTCATTTAGCTGGAATATTGCTGAGTGCGGCGTTAAATAACAAACAAACAAACCTGTCCATCACTGTCAAGGAAAGAGAGGCGGTAGAGAGTTGAGTCATTACTATTCCACGTGCACTCTTACCGGCCAGGGGGCACGGGTGGCCCTGTCGTCTAAGGCGCCGCGATACGCTGTGCAGAGTTGCGTCCCCTGGGCACGCCAGAAACCTATGATTGTGGGTTCGAATCCCGGATCGCCCCAATTATGTTTCTAGGTTTGTCAGCACCATACCCGTGTTCGTGGGTTTCACCGAAGTGGTAAACGTCTGAGACCTGCATCACTTCGGGCTTTCCTCCCACATTAAGCTGACACGCAGCGATATAACTGGAATACTGTTAAAAACGGCGTTAAACCCAACTCACTTACTCACTCACTTACCGGCCACGAGATAGGGTTCACGAAATAAATTCCAAACTCTGGAAATATGTACTTTAATGATGTAACTACACTGTTATTTATAGAAAACTAGAGAACATATTTTGTGAGGCATGTTTGAGGAGTATGTGACTATGCCATGTCGGGTTCAGTTAAGGGATGTACCTGTTGGTATCTGTGGGTGTTTATATCAATAGAGTTCGGCTTTTACAGGGTCCTCCCCGTTGTCGATGGCGTTGTGGGTCAACGTGGTGTTGTTGCTGGTCGCAGTCTGTGTACAACGGCTTTAACTTCTTCACCAAGGCTACAGCGGCCTTTCCACCTGTAGTAAAGCACCTGTAGGATCTGTGTAGGAACACTCTCCGTCATCGTGTCTCGCGTAAGCTGCTCGAGACTGCTGCTACTGTCCTCTGCTCGGCTCTGCTGCTACTGTCGTCTGCTGGGTCAGCTCCTTTGGGAGCTGCTCGGCTCTGCTGCTACTGTCGTCTGCTATTGTCGTCTGCTGGGTCAGCCCCTATGGGAGCTGCTCGAGACTGCTGTTACTGTCGTCTGCCGGGTTGGCTCCTCTGGGAGCTGCTCGAGACTGCTGCTACTGTCGTCTGCTGGGTCAGCTCCTATGGGAGCTGCTCGGCTCTGCTGCTTTTGTCTGCTGCTGGTGTATGGGTTGTAGTGATGACGTCAGCAAAGATTGCTCACTGAACCTGACCTCGGCCTGTACACACGACTACCTCTTGTTACACAAATAAACACTCTTTGTGAACACTGATGTTGTCCTGTATTTGTCGGATTTGCTCCCCGCAAGTTGCTAGTGAGTGAGTGAGTGGGTGGGTGTTTGATTGAGTGTTTGGGTAAGTGGGTGGGTGGTTGTGTGAGTGGGTAATATCGAGCTAATATGCATTCCAGTTGGCGAGGTGTCACTGTAAAACATGTATTGAATTCGAGGACTGAAAGACTTTGACATTTCTATTGACAAATGCCGATATCTCCTTTACCGAAGGAATACAATGAGTTTTAGCCATGATGGTCACGCTATTGTTGTTGCAGTTGCTTCTGAGCCAGGAATTCTCCGATCATTCTGAACAAACGAACAAGTAAGACTGACGCAACAACAGGTCATTAAGCAATATTATAGAGAGGTTATTTTTTATATTGAACATGATATGGCTTAAGACATCACTCGAATCTGATACCGGAAATGCTGTCAACTCGGTCGGAGCTCATTGATTCTACTTCCGGAAACGACAGATTCTCGTTATTTCTCCGTCAGAGCAGCCAGTGGCATCAGATTTTTAAAGTTTTGACTGCTGTTGAACATTATCAGAGAGTTGGGTTTTTTTTCTATAACTGACATCAAAGTTGTTTATCTAGGAGCCTAAATAACTAAAGAGGTATATTCGTGATAAATATAATACCAAAAAACTATACTTCATGAGAAAGAACAAATTATTTCTGGCCTCACGCTGAGAATATTGTCAGCTTGGCTGTCAGTCGAGGACACTCAGTGGAGTTTTCGGCCTCCATAAAGACTCGCTGACAATGGACCTGCAGACAATGGACCTGCAGACAATGGAGAGGAATGCGGGTTACAAAGATGGCGGTGACTAACACCTTAGTACTCCCTATGTTCAAGTTATTATATAGGTATAATTACAAAGTTATTATATAGGTATAATTACAAAGTTATTATATAGGTATAATTACATAGTTAGTATAGGTTTCAATAATGACAATGTGCAATTGTGAAAGTTTTATGCTTACACATGTATAGCATACTTGGCTTACGGCGTCATTTGTTCTGACCTAAAAAATGTGATTGTTCTATATACAGGTCAGAGGTGCATTGTAATGTGCCGCGGTGTCAGGGAGCGATATCGAGAGGACCTATTTCACTTGGACTGGCTACGTGGGGATTATAAACGTAAATTACATGACACTGATTCTTGACTAAAGGTGGTATTGTGTATATATCGCACCCATGTTATGTAACTGAAAACGGTTGATATGACTACCTTGATACGGGGGATACGGTTGATACGACTACCTTGAAACGCGAGATACGGTTGATACGACTATCTTGAAACGAGAGATACGGTTGATACGACTACCTTGATACGAGGGATACGGTTGATACGACTACCTTGATACGAGGAATACGATTACCTTGACGAGAGGGATACGGTTGATACGACTACATGTACCTTGATACGAGATATACGGTTGATACGACTACCTTGATACGAGGGATACGGTTGATACGACTACCTTGACACGAGGGATACGGTTGATACGACTACATTGAAACGAGATATACAGATGATACGACTACCTTGATACAAGGGATACGGTTGATACGACTACCTTGATATGAATGATACGGTTAATAAGATTACCTTGATACGAGGGATACGGTTGATACGACTACCTTGATACGAGGGATACGGTTGATACGACTACCTTGATATAAGGGATACGGTTGATACGACTACCTTGATACGAGGGACATGGTTGATACGACTACCTTGATACGAGAGACATGGTTGATACGACTACCTTGATACGAGAGACATGGTTGATACTACTACCTTGATATAAGGGATACGGTTGATACGACTACCTTGATACGAGGGACATGGTTGATGCGACTACCTTGATACGAGGGACATGGTTGATACGACTACCTTGATACGAGGGATACGGTTGATGCGACTACCTTGATATAAGGGATACGGTTGATACGACTACATATATATTTCGTTTAATGTAAAGGCAGTCGGTAGAAATACTTATTCACAAGACCGCCTCAATGGTGTAGTGGGTAGAGCGTCTGCCAGGAGGGGGAAGGCAAGAAATTTGGACATTACTTGAAAAGCGCACTCTGTAATTTCTGTCGTTGCAGTATATAATATTCCTACGGGCGGAATGGTTTGTTTTCACTTTACAAGTATTAGCACATATGTAGGTATATCTTCATCATCATCGCGACATTTCTTTATTCTATTTCAAGTAGCGAATACTACAGCCATCAATGAGCGTGTCCTCTGGTCGATCATTCCAGTAAGCTGAAGCGGGAGTAAAATATACAAAGCGTCCCCATTGATGCGGCAATGGGCAAAGCGGGCTAGTTTGTTACATATATTGTAATGTTGTGTACAGTTTCGACCAAAACATTTGCACAGAGTAGCCAATCAACTTGGAGAAAAGTATCGTCAGTAAAATCTTTTCACAACAGAATCCACCGAAATACTTCGTATGACTGGTCCGAGCTTGTTCGGGGTAGAATTGATCTTCAGCAACGCATGCTTGTCGAAAGACAGCCAGGTGGATGTAAAATGTATGTCATCGTAGCTAATGATATCGATCACCGGATTGTCTTGTCCAGACTCGATTATTTACAGACCTCCGTCATACAGCTGGAATATTGCTGAGTGCGGCGTTAAACAACAAACAAAAGCACACGTATGCAGTCCTTGACGAAATCCAGAACCAGTGTCACGTGACATTATGACCTTCCCGGGATTAGCGTCTTCAGGGCACAGTGTCATGTTGTATGGACATAACACCGACTTTAGTACACTGGTATACATCTTTATTCATCCGGCTTCTGTATCAACAATGTATACGCGATTATTCCACACAAACCCGGGAGCCGGGACGGAGTGACACTGTACAAACTCGTGGCCAGCTGCCTGTCTGTTGTGACCACCCTGTACAGATGATCTCACCCGTGAAGATCCGGGGTAGAATTGGTCTCCAGCAACCCATGCTTGCCGTAAAAGGCGACTATGCTTGTCGTAAGAGGCGACTAACGGGATCGGGTGGTCAGACTTGCTGACTTGTTTGATGTATGTCATCGTATTCCAATTGCGTGGATCGATGCTCTTGATGTCAATCACTGGATTGTCTGGTCCAGACTCGATTATTTACAGACCGCCGTCATACAGCTGGAATATTGCTGAGTGCGGCGTAAAACAACAAACAAACAAACAAACGTATGCTTAGAGACAATAGGTGCGTTCGCTTTTTAAAATTTGAGGAACCTGCCTCAACCCAGGTTACCATATTTTTGTCAACCACGGCTGACTAGATTCAACCAGTGTTAATTTCGGATCTTTTAACAGGGCAGTATCCGAAATAAAACGCATAAAATGAAAATGATGGTTGCCAGGAGACGTGGACACACCCATGTGCTACAACACACAACTGGGAGAGGTCATACCACCTTTCATAGCTTGACAAACTGCCTTTTCTATTTAATGCGTGTAAAACGACAAGCAAGTTCAAAATATCGCTTATAATATCAACCCACATGCAAAACCCTCGTCAAAATTGTATTGTTAATTCAAGAGTGTTTATCTCAACAATCGAAAGTTAAATTTCCCTGATGCATATCAGAATACACATACACTATCAATACCAAGTTAATTATAGTCATTAAAATGACGTCACTTTGAGGCTGCAAACCAGAGTCCCGCAGCCCAGGGGTTCAGAAGGTATGGGGAACTTAGATCAACCGAAATATGATGTTAATGAGTTAAAATGAGTGATTTTACGCCGCCTTTAGCAATATTCCAGCAAATATCACGGCGGGGGACACCAGAAATGGGCTTGACACGTTATACCCATGTGGGAATCGAACCCGGGTCTTCGGCGTGAAGAGCGAACGCTTAAACAACTTGGCTACCCCACCGCCCCAGTTAAAATGAGATAAGATTGGTCAAGCAAGGTTAACTTGAGTTGTACCTTGGTCAACACGGGTTCACCTGGATCATCCAGGGATTTTTTTCAAATCGAACGCACTGTCTCGGTCACATTCCGAGAACTATTTACAGCGCATGACAGGAAGCTGGGACCGGGCCGCTGGGTATAACCCCCTCGCTCGCTATAGAATAGATCAGCCTCACACAAAGATGTCATCACAATGTGTATTATAAACAACCACTTTATGTGGTTTTTCATTAAATACTGTCCGCGTCATGCCAAAAGACGTTAAAATTTAGTACTTGTTGTTACCCTGCCTGTTTAATTTCTGTTCAGCCCAGAATAACCTTCTTCTTTTTTAACTTTTTATGTATGTTTCATTTTCATTTTCATTTTACAGTTGCGCATATTACACATATGGTAATTGTAATTGTAAGAGAAGAGTAAATGACAGCTTGATCATGGCAAGTACCTGTTAAAATATCCCATATCATAATTTACATTTGCAAAATATTTTGTAAGTGTCTGGTATTGAGTAAGCTCCCATTGGATATCCTTGAAGGTTGGTATTTGCTGTTCATTTCTTTCTTTTGTAAGTAACACCCGAATAAAACCTGTCCTTTGGAAATATGAATTTTTATTTTCCCTTATTGAGGAGCCAGTTTTCAATATTTGACCAGAGGGGGCGTACCTTTTGACATTGACAAGGTGTAAAATAGTTTCTTTATCATTTGAGCAACTACACAAGTCACTGTCCACGTATCCCATTTTATTAAGTAGCGAATTTGTAGGTAGAATATGATGTAATATTTGGTATTGAAGCCATTGAAATGGGCATGACTTCGTGCACCTAAACGGTATAAAAATATAATTTTTACGATCTGCTTCGCAGATTTTACTTCTAAGCAGGATTTCCCATTTTTGAAAGTGTTGATTCTTATTAATTTGTTTGTCCATACGTATTTTATAGAAGTATTGAGAACCTTTCTAAACAAATGACAATTAACGAATGAAATAAATTAAATGGTAAAATTAGGTAACTAAGTTTCTTCAGCTTCTAAA